TAATAATAATAATAATAATAATAATAATAATAATAATAATAATAATAATAATAATAATAATAATAATAATAATAATAATAATAATAATAATAATAATAATAATAATAATAATAATAGCAATAGCAATAGCAATAGCAATAGCAATAGCAATAGCAATAATAGTAATAATAATAATGTAGTATAAAAACACCACATTAGTATTATTAAAAATAAATAATAATGATAATAATATAATTATTATCATTATTATTAGGAACAACTATCAATTATTAATAATAGTTGCTATAAATATTTTAATAATTATATTAGTATTGGTATTTTTATTTTTATTATCATTACTGATTATAATAGTGTGGGATATTTTTATCCACACTGCTACTAATAACATAATTAAAGGACATATGACCTCTAACAAGAGATAACAATTAGACGTGGTATGGTATTCCAGCTTACTGTGTATGGATGTGAAAGCAGGCCGGTGAAGAAAGATAAGAGGGTGGGGGGATTGAAATATTGTGCTGGAGGAGGGGTTTGTCGATACCTTCATCCTCTAGAAAGGAAGGAGAGAAAAAAACCCAACATACACAAAAACAAGTGGATCCTAGAACAAATCAAGCCTGAACTCTTTGTAGAAGAGAAAATGACAGAAGTGAGCGAGTCCAATTTTTGGTCCCATCAAGACAAGACGCGAGGCGATAATGCTGGGGAAAGTTGAAAGCAGCAGGGGGAAAAAAGGGGGATGCTGGACTCAATGGATTGTCTTGGTGAAGGAAACTTATAGCCTAGATTTTGCAACAGTGAGTCGGTCTGTTAATGGCAGGACTATTTGGATAGCTGGCTGGTTAGCTCAGTGGGTGAGGGAGCCAGAGGTTGGGGCTTCCATTCCCCACCATCCATCTCAGAAAAGAGCCAGCCTGGGTGGCCTTGGGCCAGCTGCACAGTCCCAGGGCGACCCCTAGAGGAAGGGAAGGGTAATACACCTCTGAGTACTCTTTTCCTAGAAAACCTTGGAAAAGGCCACCCTAAGTTGGAATGGACTTGACAGCATGCAGTTATTTATTATTTAGAGGTCACTCCATGATAGGGTTACCATACGTTGGAAACAACTTGACAGCAACTATCAACAATACAACAGCACACACACACACACACACACACACACACACACACACCCCTTCACTTTGTTGATTGTGTGTGTATCCATAGATTTCGTCTGCAGGCCTCTTTTCCTCCATTACCCTCATGTTCTTTATTAATTTGGGGGGACAGGGAACCCTGAGAGAGAAGTCAGCAAAGCTACGTGGTGCTGCTTGCTTTGTTCCTGGAACCCATGTACAGTTTCTGGTTGGATCATGGTCTAAATCCTGATTCAGAGTTGGGAGAATGCATTTTCTTGGACTGTTGGTGCGCAGCATCACACAAGCATCATTATCTCAGAGCTGCAGAGGAGGAAGGAACCCTATGGATCATCGAGACCACGGATCATAGCCAAATATGACCCCAAAATAAAAAATTTTCCAATCTCAGCTCCCAGAATTTTTGTTATAGATATAAAATCCAGGACATTTAATACTGCTGGAAAATAAACAAGATGTTTCTAAAATCCACTCTAAGAGTCCTTGATTTCCTACCTTCTTCCTCTTTATTCATGTTTGGCATTTTCACCATTTATTTTATTTATTTATTTATTAGATTTCTATCCTGCCCTTTTAGACAAAGTTTACTCCGGGGGTATTTTTATCCACCATATTTGCCAGTGTGGATAATTTACTGTTTATGTTGTTTTTAGCCACTAGATGCCACTGTTAGCTTTCTTTACAAGCCCTTTTTGGGGTAATTTTTAAGTCAGATTCTGAGGTTGGGTGACACTTTTATTGAATCAGCAAAAAGTTACAAATAAGACAGAATTCTGGGTTGTTCAAAAACTCTTCACTAGGCAAAGATGGTACAGAACTTGGGATCCAGACAGACTAATTCAAAAACTGGGCCAAATGTTTATTCCCTTGGCTCAGGAAAGAAGTGAGGCAGCTAATAAAGCAAAATGGAGTTTTGTTGTCCCATAAGGCAGAGGTGACAAAGCCAATAACTAGTGGTTGTTGTGGGTTTTTCGGGCTCTTTGGCCGTGTTCTGAAGGTTGGTCTTCCTAACCTTTCGCCAGTCTCTGTGGCCAGCATCTTCAGAGGACAGCCCAAGCCAACTACACCAGAGCACAGAGTGCTGTCCTCTGAAGATGACGGCCACAGAGACTGGCGAAACATTAGGAAGAACAACTTCCAGAACACGGCCAAAAAACCCACAACAACCATTAGATCCCGGCCGTGAAAGCCTTCACGAATACACCAATAACGTAGCCATTCCTCCCCTGTCTGCAGGTCAAAAATGTGTGTGCTCTCCATTTGCCCGCTGCTTTAGGCGAAGCCACACAATCATTTTCCAGTCTCTCGCCGCAGAAACAACTGGGAATCCTATGCCATCACAAAGACTGATGACAGATTTACTCCAGCATGAGTTTTTTGCAAATGCTTGTTTCCCAAGTACAGCCATGTGCATGCTGTACTATGTTGTGCAGTCCTCAGGACTATAGATGACCCACAATGGAGCCAGTGGCATGCCATCTTCCAAAATTTTGCAGTGAGACCCCCTCTCTTCCTTGGCTGACGTACCACCCCCATTTAGGGCTAATCGATGTATTATAGGATCGGCTTTCATGAACACGCGACCTACAGGTACTCCCTATCCGTCTGCATGAAGGGCATCGGCTCACTGTTGCCTCTTTCCTTAATTACAGATACATCTGGGTCCCACACCAGACTTTGCCTACCTGACCCCAGACAGACGTTGAAGAAGGTGGTGATTCACCTTGTTGGCGAAGGCATGGGAACCGAAAACAAGAAAGGCCCTTACTGCTGTTTTCTAAGTTACGTCTGATGAAAAGATATGGCTCCCTAAAGAACTGTTGATTGACGCTGTAGGTTAAGAGCCGATAACATCAGAGCCTGGGGGGGCTGGAAGCTGATCCGACTGGACACTCCTGATGGTGGCAAGTCCCGGTTGCTCTTTCATTCATCAATGGTTCTTTCTTCTTTCCTTACTTCTGGTTATCAGGAAAAAGTTGGCTGCGGAAAGTCACCATTCACGCTTGGCAATCTTTCTTGAGCAAAGAATTTTTGAATTCATGGGTATCTGGACGGCCAAGCATTTTTTCGGGGGACGGGGGGATCTAGTACAAGAAAACCAGACAAGGGGGTGACACTACGGCATGGCGTGATCTTTCACACTCCAAAGCACCCAGGTTTTGCCCAAGACATTTTGCAGGTGAAAGGAAATTAGGGCACCCTTCACCGGTTGCATGTAGAGAAGCTGACCAGAGTAGCAATTAAATCTGCTGCCCAGAAGCAACTATTTACTTATAATTAGTTACTTTGGTTTAAATTGTGGTGCTGGAGGAGGCTCTTGAGAGTCCCCTGGACTGCAAGGAGAACAACCCTATCCATTCTGAAGGAAATCAACCCTGAGTGCTCACTGGAGGGACAGATCCTGAAGCTGAGACTCCAATACTTTGGCCATCTCATGAGAAGGGAAGACTCCCTGGAAAAGACCCTGATGTTGGGAAAGAGTGAGGGCAAGACGAGAAGGGGACGACAGAGGACGAGATGGTTGGACAGGGTCATTGAAGCGACCAACATGAATTGGACCCAACTCCGGGAGGCGGTGGAAGACAGGAGGGCCTGGTGTGCTCTGATCCATGTGGTCACGAAGAGTTGGACATGACTTAACAACTAAACAAAAACAGGAAGTTACTTTGGGGAAACGGAGGTTCAATGAAATCATCCTGAAAAAATCACGGTTACACTGTTGGTGGTTGGTTTTGTGTGTGTGTGTGTGTGTGTGTGTGTGTGTGTGTGAGAGAGAGAGAGAGAGAGAGAGAGAGAGAGAAACAAGTGATATTTTCTAGATATTTTCAAAAGTTACTTTCTGGAGGTATATTTTTAGGAATTTTTGAGAAGAATTTTCACGACCAAAGATGGAAAACTGTCTTCCATCGCACTGAGCAGAGCACACAACCTAATATTTATTTATTTATTTGGCTTTTATACCGCCCATCTAGACAAATCTTCTCTGGGCAGTTTACAGTCCAAAAAAAAAAAAAAAGGCAAAAAAATTAAAATCATCAATAAAAAGACTAAAACAAGCTTAAAACCAGAGTTAAAATTAAGTAGTGGCAGGAGAGAAGATGATCTGGAAACCTTTATTGGTTTGCCGCAACCCAACCTAAATGGCAACAAATGTATTCTTTGAACTGACGCCCCATTGTCTTAAAAACCACCAAGCAACATTCGCGCCCTCCGAAGTATCTTTTTAGAGCAGGGCAATTGCCTTCCCAGGCCTTATCTGCAAAAAAAGGGTCACATTTCCGTTAAGCTGTCTCCGTTGGTAAAGGAGCTTTTGTTCCAAGGATGTATATATTATTTTTTTATGTGACACCATGGGAAAAATGCAGCATATCGTCCTGAGTACTATGAGATTCTCTTCTGTTGCTGTTTTTAATATTGCAAATGTAGCGAGAGGCCTTCGAAGGCTGGGAGGCAACACCGGACGCGACAGCAGGACCGATGAACAGTCTTGTGGCATCTTAAAGTCTACGACATTTTATCTGGCACACACTTTTGTGGACTGCTGCAGCTTATTGCTTCAGATGCATGGAGAGGCTGTCGAATTTAGGTAGCCGGGTTAATAGGGAAACACAGAGCCTTGGAAGCTACATTTTTGGCCAGCCTGGAAAAATGGGCCAAGTTGCCGCAAGGGTTACCACCGTCCACACTTCGGTTTGTTTCCCATGCAGCCTTACCTGTAACACACCTGATGCTTCAAGAATTTTTGTTTAAATCCTGTGTTGCTGCTGAGTCTTCATGCATGCATTCATTCATGCAGTCACTCACTGTTACAGCTTTTCCTTCTCCGTACAAGGGGGACCCAAGGGGTCGTTCAAAACCTTTAAAAGCCAAATTGTGGTTAAAAACAGGAGAATTGCAATATTCAAATGCAATTAAATGTAAAAACAGCAGCTGAATGCAACAGTTTAGAAGCGCATTGAGAATGGTAATAAAATACAAAATCCTGTATTTTGACCTTTATAGGTAGACAGCTCCCGTTCCAGCTTAGTGGGTTATTTCCAGCAGGATTTGTGCAACTGGTGTCAGAGTTTGCGTAGTTAGGAGTTTTTTTTTCTGAAAAGGAAGCTAGATGGAACTAGGTTGCCAGTAGCCAGAATTGGCTACATGGCATGCAATATACAGTGGTGCCTCGCTAGACAGTTACCCCGCATGAGAGTTTTTTCGCTAGACATTGGCTTTTTGCGATTGCTATAGCGATTCGCAAAACCGTGATTCCTGTGGGGGAATTTCGCTGGACATTGTTTGGTCCCTGCTTCGATTTTGACAGCTCCCTCCGCGCTCACAAAACAAGTGTTTTTGGGACCTAAGCTTCGCAAGACAGCGATTTAAATAGCTGATCACAAAGCGGCTTTCCTATGGCCGATCTTTGCTAGACAATGACGATTCTTCCCTATTGGAACACATTAAACAGGTTTCATTGCATTCCAATGGGGAAATGCTTTTCGCTAGACAATGATTTCACTAAACAGCGATTTCAGTGGAACGGATTATCATCGTCTAGCAAGGCACCACTGTATATGGTTCCTGTCTTTGCCACTTCTTGAGCCTCTATAGGTAAATAGATCAGAGGTCTAAAAAGAATGCCCTGAGGCCTCCATGGCCTCTCTGACATGAAAATCTCCCTGAATGGAAAGCTGATGGGCTGGTTTGCAAGGTAGGAGCCCATAAAATGGTCAGGTGAGCGTGGGAAAATTAGAGGGATTACTGGATGCTTGGCAGAAAGTTTGAGATTCTTCCTGATAGAAACGTGTGCAGTTGAATCCAAGCCGGAGGACACGGAACCCACTAGACACGGCTGGATCAAACTACCGCCATCTCTCACCATTGGCCCTGCTGCCTGGGGATAATGGGCACCGTAGTTCAACAACACCTGAAGGAGCCAGGTTGGCCTACATTTTTAAACTTCACAGTCCCGGAAACTGAAATGTACTTTCCAAGCGTAGCTAAATAATCCAAACAACCGCATACATGAATGGTCCTCCAGCTATCAGATGGTGAGTTCTGTGCTGTTTGCATTGTTAACTTTGCTTCAGGTTTTTCCGCGTCATTATGAACTGTTTTAAAGTACTTCAAAACATTCTGATTGTTTTTCGGCTGTACAGGCAGCCTAAAACTGGTTTTATGGGTTATACCAAGATCTGCTGAAATAGTAAAAATATCACAAACCAGTTCAATAAATAAATAACAGAGTCAACCGATACGCTGTGATTTATTTATTTATGTTGAAGCCGAGACTGACCTACTTTGACACATCAAAGGCAGGATTCTCTGGGAAAAACAATCATGCTGGGAAAGTTGGGGGGCGCCAGCAGGAAAAGAGGAGGACCAAATACGAGATGGACTGGCTCCCTAAAGGAAGCCATTGGCTTGAATTTGGAGGAGTTGATCCAGGGAGCTGAGGTCTCGGGATATTTTGGAGATCGCTCATGTATGAGTTGGAGGCCACGCGATGACACATATGAGGAACAACAAATACATGAACATGCATCGCTCTTAGGGTGCCTGCGCACCCTCCCAGACACAATCTTTTTGCACCTCACATGCACACAGACAAAACTGGAGACTTTTCACATCTTAAAGGCTAACAGACCTATTTTTGGCAGAAAGCATGTCGTGATCCGAAACCACCGAATTGGATATCAAAAACAGGCCGTTCCTCATGCTGGCGGAGGAGTGAGGTTCTGACGAAGAAAGAAAGGAGGATCAGAAATGGTGTTACTCAAAGAGCATCAACCCAGCTTGGTACACCCTGTGACATTGCCTTGTAAAGTGTGCAGTGCAATAGATACATCCATGCCCATTTTTTTTCTGAGCTGCCTCCAGCTCAGCGCAAAACACTCCCACCTCCTTGGCTTATCGGGTACCACCAGGGAGGCTTCCCTCTGCTGCGAGGCGGAACACGGAATCTCTCTCTCTCCTGCCACGTCGCTGAGCGCGGAACCCATCCGTCTGTGATGCTGTGCGCACAGAATGTCCTCAGCAGCTCCAGGAGGCAGGAGCCCCACCTCCCCTCCCTGGCTGCTGGTGTGACAGACAGAGTTGGCTCACCCCTGGCCAGTTCAAGCCACTTGTTGCTCCCCGAGCTGGCACGGCTGGGATGACTGACAGCCGCACGGCCACACCCACCTTGCCCAAGGTGACATAAGATGATGAACTGTTCCTGCCCCAGTGGCAGACAGGCATCAGTGGACAGTTGTCCTTCCCCACCTGGGCACCTCCTGTTCCTTTCCATCTCCAGCCAGCCAGGGGAGACAGACCAAGGGTGAGGACCGGCCCCATGACACGAAACACGGATATGCGCTGGCGCCTGCCGCTGGTGTGCATCCTCTGGGAACTGGCCATGATTGTCCTTTTCGGCGTCTTCGTGCGCTTCAGCCCCGAAGCAGATGCGGCCGGCTGGCAGAAGGAGAAGGCCCAGGGGAACGTCACCAGCGATGTCGAGAATGACTTCTATTTCAGATACCCGTGTGAGTACGCGCCAACGACACCCATATGCGTGGCAGGAATCTGGGGCTTCCTTCACTTGCTCACCCTATGTGGTGGGGTGGGGGGATCCAAGTGTGGGCCAGAAATGGGGGATGCATTGGACAGAGAGACAGGAATGGAGAGCAACTTGCTGATGGATTATTACTACAAAAAAAAAAAAAAATTCCACTTCTTTATGGGCATCAGCTTCCAGGAGGGTTACATTGCAGTTAAGTTCAGTAATAGTAATCAAGTCAATTCTGATTTACGGCAACCATTTTCAGGGTTTTCTCAGAAGTGATTTCCCATGCCCTTCTTCTGGGGGCTTCCTGGGACTGTGCAGCTGGCCCAAGGCCACCCAGGCTGGCTCTCCACGCAGGAAGCACAGTGGGGGAATCGAACTCCTAATTCACTGAGCGATCCAGGCAGTGAGCTTGAAGGGGCCAAGAAATCCGGGGGGTGGGGTGAGGGAGCTCTGAAGATCCCATTGTCCCTGCTGATCAAAAATTCCCAGTCCTTCCCAGTGCCATCCACCTCCTTAATCCCATGCCACACACCCAGGCTCTTGCTTTGTACCTCTGATCTGTGCCCCGGCAATCTTTACCGTTTGGCCTTAACAATAGTTTTTGCAGAGATCCAGATCACAACAGGCGTTTGATCCAAAGCACCAGGTACATATTTTGCTAATTCCTCAAACGGCCCCTAACGAGGTCAATCCCCCCAACTCCAAAGCCTATACAGATCTTTTGGCTTCCTTTGGGACCATCCCGAGCCATTTTGCTCCCTGATGCCGATGTGCAGACGGCTGCACTTGCTAGTTCAACACGCTTTCGTGCATCGCATCCCAAGCTAACAATGTTATCTTAGCTCATGCGAGGAAAAAATAATATTATTCTCGCCCATGAGGGAGTACCTCTCTGTTTCCCTGGTGATGAAAAATGCTATGATAACAAAGCAGATGCCTCCCTGCAGCCCTTTCTTGACGGTCATCATTTGCTGGAGCAGCTGCCTCAACGGTAGGGCCGGCTCCAGCTTTGTTTGGGAACTTTGTTCGGGAAGGGAACGGCTGCTTTGTGAACCCGGGGAAGGACAAGCTGTACTTTTCAATTCCCTCCCCCCCCCCATCTCCAGCCCATGTTTTCACCCTCGGCCACGACTTTGACCACACGGTGTTATGAGTCCTAAAGCCTCACGCATGGGAAAATCAGGTGTCCGCCGTCTAAACAGACCAGTTCACTCCATTAAACACGAGCCCGAGATGAGAACCGGCTGATTCCATCAGTCCCAGGAAAAGCTTTGCTGCTCGGCTCTCGCGTCAAGAGACGTCCGGCCTTCAGCCAGATCTTGTTTAATCATTAAAGGTCTTCAGATGATAGCGGTGGTATTTTGGCATCAAACTTCCTCCTACCCTGAGTTTAGAAGGGTTGTTGGTGTTCCCCCCCCCGAGACTACAAGTCCCCAAATCCCCTGGATGGATGGCTAGGGGATTATGGGATTTGGAGTTTCCAGGGCTCTGTTTTTCTCTCTCCGCCTCTGGGCTGTTTATTAAAAAATATGCTCTCTTGAGGGACAGGTAGAGAAATACATTGATCGGTTTGATCTTTGATGTCAAGGCGGGTGAGTGAGTGGCTTTCTGAAGACAAATTTGGCAGCCCAAAGAAAAACACACGAACAAATAACAGATGAAAAAGTCCCAGGAAAAGCTTTGCTGCTCGGCTCTCGCGTCAAGAGACGTCCGGCCTTCAGCCAGATCTTGTTTAATCATTAAAGGTCTTCAGATGATAGCGGTGGTATTTTGGCATCAAACTTCCTCCTACCCTGAGTTTAGAAGGGTTGTTGGTGTGTTTTCACCACCCCCGAGACTACAAGTCCCCAAATCCCCTGGCTGTCTGGCTAGGGGATTATGGGATTTGGAGTTTCCAGGGCTCTGTTTTTCTCTCTCCGCCTCTGGGCTGTTTATTAAAAAATATGCTCTCTTGAGGGACAGGTAGAGAAATACATTGATCGGTTTGATCTTTGATGTCAAGGCGGGTGAGTGAGTGGCTTTCTGAAGACAAATTTGGCAGCCCAAAGAAAAACACACGAACAAATAACAGATGAAAAACAAGTCAGATTCTGAGGTTTCCCCTTGCATAGTGTCGCTTTGTGAGTGATCATGGTGCTGAGGGACTCCTGTTCAACCCCTTGACTATTAGCCTGTGGTATATCTCAGGGTTCCATGATTCCCCACGCTATTTCACATAAGAGTCTGTTCAGGATTTTGTGGTCTGGAATACCACCAGTGCGCTGAGGACACCCAACTCCCATCTGCTTTTTGAGATCTTCCAAGAGGCCCTTCTCTCGCCAGTGTGTGGTCACCCCCCCTCACCTCCTGCCAATTTCACCCTAGAATTTACAAGGGACGAAATATACCATGTAAATGTAATTTTGCCTTCAGGCCTCATTTAACCCAGAGGGAGACTCTTTTTTTTTAAGAAACTGGAAGTGACCAGCCGGAAACTCTTTTTTAAAAAAATCTGGAAGTGACCAGCCTGCCACTCCCTCTTTCTGACTAGCCAGAGCGCATGTGTTGCATTTAAATGGCAAATAGTTCTCCCAAGGTTTCAGGGAAAGGTGAAATGTTGAGAGGCTGTGGGGCAACCCATAAAACTTTTTTTGGGGGGTGGGTGGGAAACAAAGCCCCTCAGAGGTTGCCTGGCCTGTTATAAAATACATTCAAAGAATCAGAAATGTTGTGTTTCTGGAGAACACCGATAAGCAGATACCCTTCATCTTTCTTTGGCTTTACCCATCTACGACATCTTACCGGGGATCATGGGACTTGAAATACCCTTAGAAGCGCTGTGTGTCAAGAATTTATGAGATCTTTCATGGCCATGTCATGGGAACAAAGATTAATATTATCGTTATCAGTTTGTTCAGGAGTGGGAGGCCTTTGGCTCTCCATGACTCTTGGAGTTATAACACCTGTAATTCTCTACCACTGGCTATGCTGGGTGGGGATTCTGGGTGCTGGAGTCAAAAATCATGTGGCAGGCAAAATGTTCTTGCTCCGTGACCTTTATTGCAGGAATTTTATTGTACGGCTCGGGCAAGTGGTTCTAAAGTTGAGGTATCTTTTAAAAAACACACACACACGCACATACAAAAACACGTACCAAAACTCATTTCCAAGACGAGATTAAATTAAAGTTGATCTGACAACATTATGGGAAGCGGCTGCTTCAGTGACATACCGAAGAGGCAGCGAACGATGCTGTGTATTGATCTGACAACTGTGGTTGTGGGTGTGTATTATTTGCCCAAACTTCTGCAGTACCCTCACCAAAAAGAGTGGTAATACTTTAGTCTTCTGAATCGGGAACTCGTTGTTCAAGGCCAAGGGAAAAATGTTAACTCCTTGGTTTTGTGTTAATGCAAGAATACTGTTGTTCTTAACCCTGGATGTTTAAACGGAGGAAACAGAAGACACATCATGACTGTAAGCTTATTTTTAAAAATAGAATTTCAACTGTCTAAGAGAGTAATGCAGATTCTAGGGTGAAACTGGCAGGAGGTGGGAGGTCAGAGGTTAGCAAAATGCAACTTTCCAGATTTTGGTGTGCTGCAGCTCCCGTCAGCCTTAGTCAGCATGGGCTACGGATGCTGGGTGTTGTAGTCCTGCAGCCTCTGAAAAGCGCCTTTGACCCACCCCTGATCTCAACTGCGTCATGCATCAAGCAGCCCTCTTGAGATCAAAAAGGCTCCTTCAGGGGCCCGGGGTGATTTCCGTGGCCCTCTGCCTGGTTCCACACAGCCTGGCTTGTCCACCTCAACGTGCTTGCATTACATCCGTATGTTTTTCACACCCAGATGTAAATGCCCACGGGTCAAACGAATCTCCAGGGCGATAAGCGTGCCATTTTGTCAAGAGGAACAAGGAAGAAATAGTGATAACAGAACACCCTTCCCTTTTTTGAGGAGACTTTGCTAAGTGAAGTTAGACAAAAGTGAGGACAGAAAAAAAATAAGCAAGTGTCAATTTGTTCCAAAACAAAGCTCTCTGCACGGGACCTTTTTAACAGTGTGTTTTAAGGAGCGATTACAAAATTCCGCTAGTAACAGAGGAATAATTTTTTTTGGCAGAAGGACAGTTACTGTCCCTCTCATCGAAAACAAGTGGTTTGAAAATGGAGAAGAGGCCGTGAAGGGCAAACCAAGACTTGAGTGCTCTCAAAATGCTTTCAAAAGAAGAATAAAGAGAGAGGATCTGAGCATCACGCCCTCCTTCCTTTTTTCTTCCTGCCTTCCTGCCTTTTCTCCTTCTTTTCTTTCTTCTTTCCCATCTTCTGGAAACACCTACAATATTTTGGCACACCAAAATAAATAAATAAATAAAATATTTCAAATAAATAAATAAAGTTTGCCAGGGCGTTTGCAGTTCATAGCAACAAGAAAAAAATGGCTCCACCAGGATGCAACATTTTCTGATAGTTTCTTGAAGGAAAAATAAAAAGTCTTAGGACAGATAGAGTTCCTCCTAATTTGCTCCTCGTTAGTCATTGGTGGGGAAAAGGGACAAAATGGACCGTTGGTTTGAACCAAGGGGGCTTTCTGCATTTCCTTGCTCTTTCGCTGTGGTGCTAGGGGTTGGGAGTTGTTCGATTCCCCCCCGAACCTCTTACAAGTAAAGCCAGCTTGGGTGGCCTTGGGCCGGCTGCACAGCCCCAGGGCGCCCCTAGAGGAAAGGAATGGCAATACACTTCTGAGTACTCTCTACCTGGAAAATCCCTGAAAAGGGTCCCCATAAATCAGAATTGACTTGAGGGGGACATGATTATTGATCATTGTTGTCCTTAAGGCACCTTGTGATTCTGCAGATACCAGATGACGAACATTTGTGTCTGCCCCAGTTCCAAGCATACACTGAATTGTTTGTTGAACATGGAAGTAGGTGTGAGTTGGAGAGAATGTTGGTGTACATGCCAATTTGAGACTGAACTTTTTGTTTCTTTCTCTCGCACAGCTTTCCAGGACGTCCATGTGATGATTTTTGTGGGCTTTGGCTTTCTCATGACCTTCCTCCAACGCTACGGCTTTGGAGCGGTGGGGTTCAACTTCCTCCTTGCCGCCTTTGGCGTGCAGTGGGCCCTTCTGATGCAAGGCTGGTTCCATACGTTTGAGCACGGGAAGATCCTCATTGGGGTGGAAAGGTAAGTTGCCACATTCAGAATGCAAAGAAAGAAAGAAAAGAAAAGAAAGAGGAGCCCATTTCTGGATCGGATTATAAGATTAGCGCAAGATAAGGATGAAAAGATATTTTGAAGGTTAACATGCAAATTTTGAGGTTGGAGGTAAAGGGATTTATTTTTTTGGCTTTTATAGAGGCAGTTAGAGAGGCAAGCTTTAGCATTTCACAGATCTCTTAGACAGGCAGAATGAACGCTAACAGCAAACTCTGAAGAACTTAGAAGATTAACCTGCCAGTAGAGCTTCTCTTAGGACTGGATGACTCAAAGGCTAATGGACGTAGAACAGAGTTTGGAAAAGTTACTCTTTGGAGTTACAACGACTCCTCAGTCGATCTAGCCATTCACCTGGCCCAGCTTGCTTGCTTTTCCCACCTCCTCAGCTGATCTGCCAGTCATGAGCAGGAGCACAGACTTCTCTGCCCCGCCCCTTTTCTCTGAGTGGCAGATCAGCCAAGAGGGCGGGGCAAAGAAGCCTGAGCTGCTGCCGGGACTGGAAGATCAGTTGAGGAGGTGCCAGAAGCGACCACTCCGGGTCTGGTGGGTGGCTGAATGCAAGATAAGGATGAAAACATATTTTGAAGGTTAACATGCAGGACGAACCGGTTCATGCCCATCTCTACTATGTACTTTGCTCTCCCTCCTCCTTCCAGCATGATTGGAGCAGATTTCTGCGTGGGTTCCGTCTGCATCGCCTTCGGCGCCCTCCTGGGCAAAGTCAGCCCCGTGCAGTTGCTCATCATGACCTTGTTCCAAGTGACCCTTTTTTCCGTGAACGAATACATACTGCTGGACCTCCTCACGAGCCGGAGGAGGTGGAGCAGCTGCCACCTTGACGAACTGGGACGAACCGGGACGAACCGGTTCATGCCCATCTCTACTATGTACTTTGCTCTCCCTCCTCCTTCCAGCATGATTGGAGCAGATTTCTGCGTGGGTTCCGTCTGCATCGCCTTCGGCGCCCTCCTGGGCAAAGTCAGCCCCGTGCAGTTGCTCATCATGACCTTGTTCCAAGTGACCCTTTTTTCCGTGAACGAATACATCCTGCTGGACCTCCTCCATGTAAGTTCTATTCATTTCCACTGTTAACCACCAGAAGAGGCTTCCGTGTCTCACCTCCTTGTCCACAATCAAACTTCTTTTGTCAATTTTCTACCTCCCCCCCCTCTTTGAAATAATCTCAGAGGGCTGGCGTTCTCCCATTTCGATCATCAAAACAACCCTGTGAGGTGGGCAACACTGAGAAAGAGTGAGTGATTCCCCACACCTTTCCGGAATCCAGGAAAGTCCTGTTGGGTTGGACTATGGTTCCCATCTGGAGATGGGCATGAATCCCTGTTTCAGGGGTTCGTGCAAGTTTGTTTATGGGCCGTACAGGTGCCTGGTGCTTCAGAACCCCACTTCCTCTGACAGGCACCCACTCAGAGGCAGCGCCCGAAGGAGGCAGGGCAGAGAAGCCTCTGAGTGGGTGACGGCTGGAGGAGGCGGGGCTTTGAACACTTGTTCGGCCACCGAACTGGCACGAATAGCCGAACCGGCAGTTCGTGCCCATCTCTAAGAAGCCCCTGAGTGGGTGGCTGCTGGAGGAGGCTGGGCTTTGAACACTTGGCCATTGAACTGACACAAATAGCCGAACCAGCAGTTCGTGCCCATCTCTATGTCCCCGGCAGCATGGCTGGTGTAGTCCCAACACCTGATGGAGAAAACTGTGGGTTCTCTTCTCACTTCTAGCAGGCTAGATCTCTTCAGGTGCAGTTCAGGCTGTGTGTGGAGGAGGAAGAGTTTGCCACAAAGGCACGTTGTGTGTGTGAACAAGAGATAAGACTGATGGGTTGAAGGGGGAAAAGAGCCCAAGGTGGGTTGGTTGCCTGCCAGCCCCAAACCCTACTCCCCTGCCAGCTAAACCTGGTCTTTGTGGAATGTGGCTTCACAAGCAGACTGTGCTTTGATGGTAGGGGTAGAGCAAAAGGTCTGAGAGGAAGAAATGCCTCAGAGTGCCAGATAATAACACGCTTTATCTGATAAGGGAACCAGATAAGACAGTGACTTGAGGGCTTGAATAGAACAATCAAGCTCAAAATAAATTTTTCCAGTGCATGGATGGAAGGACAGCTTTTGAATGGAGTTCTGGGCACTGGGATTGTACACCAAGGCACATCATCCCCACCTTCAACTCCCAGCCTGAGGCCCTCTGATACGACTCTAACTCTCGGCAGCCTTGACCAACATGTTTTCCACATGTTGCTACCTACCAAGGAATCAATTTTTTAAAAAAAGATGTTAGGAGAACAAGACAGTGAATAGGTTTTTGTGTGTGTGTGTATTTTGGCTGAGATTCCTGCAATTTATACAAAAATATCTCTAAGCAAAACAAGTGTCTCCTGGCCAAGTGTGCCCACGCACAAGGGCACTCGCGCACCGAGAGAACGCAGAGCACGGCGTGGCTGGCAGAGGAAAGGAAGGAAAAACAACCCACCCAGTGCGGTTGAGAGTCCACACAACAAAACAGCAGCTGTTCTCGTTCAGTGACACAATCTGTGTTATTTGTGCAAGTTGTGGAATTATGCAGTTCTCACATTTTGTTTTTTTTAAACAATTTGTGCAAGAGAGCTCTGCTTAAATAAAACGAACGAATGAACTCTCGTGAAAACTGACACGCTGAGGAGGAGACAGCGGGCAATTCACAGCCTCGGAGCTCTGCCCAGGAACCATTGGGTAGCTCTTTGGTTTAAGCATCCGGTTGTGGAGGAAAGGAGTTGAGAGTTCAATTCCCCGCTGTGCCGCCTTGATGAAGGCTGGACTTGATGATCTTCTAGAGGGTCCCTTCCAGCTCTGGAGTTCTAAGATCTAAGATTGTGTCCCCTGGTCAGCTTTGTAGAGTTGGATGATGGCGGTGGGAAGCTGATTGGATTAGATGAACCTTAGGGTTATCATTAGTTACATGTCTATCCAGCTTTTCCTTGAAGGAGCTCAGCATCCTCTCTCCTACTGTATCATCACAATGAGCCTGTAGGTTAAGGTTGGAGAGAGAGAGAGGATAATTAGCCAAAGACCATCGTGTGAATGACATTCCTCTCAGTGGAAACAGTGATCTGTATCTTGGGTTCCTACATCACCCTAACTTTTGTCTGATCATCCTCATTCTTGCCTGATGGTCCGTAAACCACCTCCTAAGTGCCCGAGCTCCTCCTTACCTTCAATTCTCTGGCTTTGAGGAATCTAGAGCAGTTTCTCTGCTTGGGAGAGCGTCATGGAGAGCCCCATCCCCATCCCTCATGTGGAGAGAGACCCTTTGTGTAGACCGGTGACCCACTTGCTTCCTTGTTCCTGCAGGTTAAAGATGCCGGGGGATCCATGACCATCCACACCTTCGGTGCTTACTTTGGGCTAACCGTGACCGCCGTCTTGTACCGTCCAAACCTTGAGCAAACCAAAGACAAGCAGGGGTCGGTCTATCACTCGGACCTCTTCTCTATGATCGGTCAGTGTCGGTTTTGTGCTTTCTTTAAAGAGAAGATGACTTCTGGTTCTGTGGTGGTGGTGGGAGGCACAGCTTGGAAAAACGTTCCCGTTGGACTACAGCTTCCAGCATTTCCCAGACAACATGGCTGGGTTTTTGGGGAGGTGTTGTGTGTGAACAAGTAACATCTATAAAAGCCACGTACGTAGGCCTAAGCAATGTTACACAGCTGGGCCTGGTTGAGCGCCAACCCTCTGTCATCACAGAACTAGTCAGGCGTCTATACCCTTTTGGGTCCAGAGGATGCTGGGAGTTGTAGTCTTGCTACCCATTAGACTCCGTAGACTGGTGCTTCCCAACTTTGGGTAACCCAAGGTGTCCTTGGACTGCAACTCCCGGAAATCCTGGCCAGCACAGCAAGCGGTGAAGGCTTATGGGAACTGCAGCCCAAGAACATCTGGGCCCCCCAGATGGAGAACCACTGCCATGGGTGACACCTCCTAAAGAACTAGGAGTCCCGGAAAGCACTGTAGCAGGAACCAGGAAGCGAAATGAAACAAATTCAGTGCTGGGGGTCCATAACCTTCTCTTTGGGGGCCAACATTTAGAGGTCTGCAGATTTGTGTTTGTGGGGATGCAGATCCCATATTTCATCCTGAGGAGTTCTGGAAGAATTCTGGGATCGGCAGTCCAAAAAACAACAATGACAACAAAGCACGCTCAAGCCAGGATGTCAACGATAGTACGCTAGTATGGACAGAGCTTTGTGTTCAACCTAATTAGATCTGTGTCGTTAAAGTCTGGACTAATGTACCTGGTACAGAAATTTTCTTTCTCCCCAAAGATTCGGCTCCACCTTCTGCCGCAAGGTCTCTGTCTCCTGCGCTCCACGCCGATTCTGGCAAGGGCATTCTGGGTCTCGTAGTTCAAGAAAAGAACATTTCCAAGCTCTCTTGCGAGGCCACCCCTAAGCTCCTCCTTGCTTCCTTTTGCAGGCACCTTGTTTCTCTGGATGTACTGGCCCAGTTTTAACTCGGCCATTTCCAACCACGGGGACGCCCAGCACCGGGCCGTCATCAACACGTACTGCTCCCTCGCAGCTTGTGTGCTGACCACGGTGGCCACCTCCAGCCTGTTGCAGAAGAAAGGCAGTCTGAACATGGTGAGGAAAAGGCTGGGGGCTGTCACGTCCTCCCCAGGTGGTTAGTGGCCCTTGGCTTCCTGGTGCCCTCCTCCCATTGCTGTACAGGCGGTTGCATTGTCCAGGGTCACAACTGATGTACCGATAGGTGCACAATCCCTTGTCTTCCAGAACGAGAGCAGAATCTGGGTCTTTTACCCAGAGTTTTTCCAATTAAATGTAGGAAGTTGGAAGAGCGTGAAACTGCCTGTCGGTATCTGAAAGGGTGTCTACCCTGTGAATACACAACTCGACAAACGATAGGGTGAAAGACCTTTCCGATGGGCATCAAATCAAAAAAGAGTAGAACAGCGACCTATGAAAAGCACTTTTCTCAACAGCTGGTCAACTGCTGAGCACTGGTTGGAACGGAAGGGTTTTTTAGCCTGCCGGCAAAAGGACAGCAGGGAATAGGCCAGGCTCGTCTCTCTTGGAAGGGAGTTCCACAGGACAGGAGCAACTACTAAGGAGGCCCTGTCTTTGTCTCCAGCCAATATGGCCCAAATGAGGGCAGATCTGAAAGAAGGGCCGGCCCAGGAAGATCTCAGAGCTCGGGCAAGCTGATTTTGGAGGATGTGGTCCTTTAGACAAGACAGATCTTAGCCAGCCCCTTTCAAGGGTGCCCAGAAACAGACTGGCAGCTGGGTCTTTCGCTAAAAAGGTCTACATTGGCTGTTGTGAATCCCAGTCTGGCCACAGCTCTCTGGGACAAGTGGTGTATCTGAAAGGTTATGGGAAAACTTTTTGACTCAAAAGGTTAATAGGTAGAACACTTATTAAGGAATGGCCCCTCGAGGGCTCCATAAAAACTGAGGACAGGTCTTTGGGCTTAAGCATGCCACCCCTGGTTTGTGAAGGGGAAAGGATAAGACTTTCTCTTTGATCAATGGGCCCTGTAAAAATTCCACAGTGTCTCTATTGTGTGCTTTCTGCCAAAAAATATATATGTTGCTTTGTCTTGTAATGTATCACCTATGAGGAGGAGGAGATGCAACATTTTTCTTCTGGCTGGGGGGAGGATGGTGAGGAAATTCCTTTCTTTCTTTCTTTCTTTCTTTCTTTCTTTCTTTCTTTCTTTCTTTCTTTCTTTCTTTATTTATTTATTT